ACGCTATAATTTTTCAACACGCTATATTTTCTGAAATAGCATGCTATTGTTTCCTTTGACAAGCTATATTTTTTGAAAACACTATAGTTTTCGTAACTTTCAAGTCATTTTAATGTTTTTTTCAGATCTAGTGTCATTTTTAATTGATACATGTCATTCATTAAAATTACCCGTCTCTGTTTATCTTATTTTTTTATATCCAGCGACAAAGTTCTTGTAATTACTATAACTTACAAGGATAATTTCGTATTTATCCTACCCCTACCCCACAAGAAAAAGAGTTAGTTTCTAAAGAAAACTGTCACAACGTTAGTTTCTTAATTCTTGTTTAGAATTTGGCTATTTGCTAATATTTCCCATAAATTTAACCTGGTGTGGATCCCGCCTCTGGGAGATGTAGAGGCTTCGGGCTTGAACTTTCAGATATTAAAAAAAAAAGAAAAATAAATAAATAAACATTAATCAGATTAAATGCAATGGAAATCAAATATTTATTAGTCAGTTTTGCTTGTTTTTTTGTTTTGTTTTTTTAAAGGATGAATTAAACAAATTAAGAAACTAAACGTTAAAGGGGAGGTTTAATATTAAAGTCTAAATGATTAAATAACTGATAGATTTTTAATACAATGATATAAAGAATTAATGATAATTTGATTATGTGTTTGAATATATTTTCTTAATTTAGGTGTAGAAAGAAGAGATGTGAATGTATTGATATATTGTGTTTGAATGGAGAAAATAGTTAATGTACATTTATAGTAATAGAAACGTAAGTTACAAAATATTAAGCCACTTCAATTTTATATAACTTCAAATGCTCAGCAACTTCATAACTATGAGAGTTACAATTTTTAAATGTGTACTATTTAGTTTACTAAAAATGTTTGAAGGATAAAAAATATGATGTTTATAGTTTTAGTTTAAAGTATAATATTGTAAGAAACTGTTTAATTAATTTAGTATAGTAATTTGATGTTAATATCATTTTATATATTTTCAAATTTTCAGCAACTTCATAACTATGGGAGTTACAAATTTTAAATTTGTACTATTTAGTTTACTAAAAACGTTTGAAGGATAAAATATGATGTTTATAGTTTTAGTTTAAAGTATAATATTGTAGAAAACTGTTTAATTAATTTAGTAAAGTAATTTGATGTTAAGATTTTACTATAAATCATTGAAAAAAAATATTAAAGTAATTTGATGTTAAGATTTTACTTGAAATGGTATAAATAAATCATGGTATATTTAATTATTGGAAAATAGATCTCTATTTAGATAAATAAATAAATAATTAAATTCAATTTAAAATGATCATGGTATATTTTAGATTTTAATATTAAAATTTAGTTCTTTACAAATGTTAAGAAGGAAAAAAAAGAGATCAGATATGGGAAAATGAAGACAAGTGTCAATTGTCTAGGTGCCACGTGTCACATTTTAATGAAGTGAGTTTTGAGAAGAACCTTACTTTATTATATTACTAGGTGAGTACCCGCACTACGTGCAGACTTTCACATTATATTTCATAATTCATAAGTATTTAAATGTAAAAGTTTAGTTAGTTTTTGTGAATGACAGGAAGACAAAACTCCCATTGTAAGAAAACATTATAAATTTTGTCAAATGCGAGTTTACCCTGATCCTTAGCTCTCTAAGTCCACTTTTTTTGCATTTCCATTTAAATTCTTAACAAAAAAAAAACTGTTCTTAATAAACCTTTTTTTTTTAGAATTTGTTTTTCATTTCTGCTAACCTTTAAACCAAGAAAAGAAGATGAGAAAATGCAAGTCAGATTGGAGTACCGCTTCTAAAATCCATGATCATGATCGGGCTCTCGTTTTGTTTGAACAAATATGTTAGCAGTTTATAGTAAATAGACAAATATACTCTCTAGATTGGTTTGTATTTAAGTGGAGATGATGAAGATCATAAAAGGGATTTATTGATTGGGGTTGGGTGTACAGCTTTATACGTTCAGAACTAAGATGTGGTTATTAACTTGAAGAGGAAGATGAAGTGAATCGGCGAGGAAAATCAGAGAGACATTTGTGAGTTAAACAGAGAAAACTACATTTAGGCCCACTTACCGTTTCCACTTCTGTGACTTTAGATTTAGCTTCTGTTGGCACACATTACGTCATTTCTCCGACTTTGTCCGACGGAGATCACACCATCAGATCATTTTGAAGATACTCTCTTACAGGCGAACTCCTGCAGGAGTGAAAATTTATTTTTTAACAACTTTCAGTAAAAAAATTTAGTTAAATGATCCAGGGGAAAAAATGTTTAGATTGAATAAATATGATTTAGCCCCTACAGTGGTAGATACATGACCGTTGTTTTTTCGTCTGTCGAATCCAATAGAGAGATGCTTGCTTAACCGGATCATCAGCTGTTTAACTGATTACGAAACAAAACTTGATTTTATGTGGGAGCCTCAACTTCGGATTTGTTTGTATCGATCTATGAGCTGTTTTCAATTTCGTTCTGACGTGTCTTGGCTTACTGAATTTTGGAGCTGGGATACCAAAATGACAGAAATATGTTATGTTTGGTGTACGTCGCTTTTCTTATCGTTGTTTTGGAGTTTTTTTTTTAAAGCGTTGAGAAAAAGAGAGCGACGATTCTATTTCTTAGTTCCATATATGTTATCTTTAATTACTTAATTATCATTTACTGCTGATTTTATAAAGTACACATGGCGAGCTATTAGATGCTGACATGTCAAGTAGATGGAGAGAGTTAGTCTCCTTTTATATATATGATTGGTATACTTGTATACTTTTCAATCTCTGAAAAATACTATTGGTATACTTGATGTATAAATTGAACTTATCTTTTTACCGAAGGCAATGTTCAAGAAAACGGTAGGCGCTAAGCAGGTAGTAACCTAGCGCCTAGCACCTAAAATGCTTAATTGGGCCCAGGCAATTTTAGGAGGTTTAGGCATTCATAACATAAAACGTTATAAATATGATATCATAGATCAAAATAATATAAAAATATCCATTAAAAATTAAAATATTAAATTGTAAACAAAAATTAGACAAAATATTTATTTAATTCATATCAAACAGCATATGAACATTTATAACTATGAATATAAAAGTAAAACTTATAAATTTTAATTTATGCAGTTGGAATTGGAAAAATACACTAGAACAAGATCTATACAATTTTAAGCTGTCGAGGCGGCCGTTAAGGCGTTGCCTGAACATCTAGGGCCTAGGCGCTTAAATGACCACCTAGATTGCTGTTTAGAACACTGACCGAAGGTAATGAAAAAAACTTTTTTCGAATGCAAGCTCTGGTTCAGTTTCAATATAAGCGTTTGTTTGACAAAAAATAAAATAAAATAAAAACAAACATATTTAATATGATTTATCTCAATTCTAACAATTGTGTTTCTCTTTTCACAAGTATAATTTGTTGAACAAAAAAAAAGGTAAATATAATTTCATTTCAAATTTTTGATTAGTGTCAGTAGAGGTGTCAGACGGGCCGGCACGCGTTCATTTGGACCGGTCCGCAATGGGCATTTAAGTTTGTGAGATCGCGACGGGCTGGTCCGCTAGGACCGCGGACAAAAATGATATGTCCAGGCCCGTCTGATTAGTAATGTCAGATTTAGATTTAAATATATTTAATCGAAAATATTCCTGATTTTTGACATAACAAATTTTTTACATTTATTCTTTTTTTTGTCAACTTTTTTTTTTTGTCAGACTTAACAAAAATTAAACAATCCATACCAGACCTAAGTAAAGGAACTTCCAAGACCTCTCTCTTCGTCTCCCACTTCTCACTTCACAGTTTCACACTGTGACTGTCTCTCCAAGCTTCATACTTTTTTTGCAATTCTGTTTCCAAACGTAAGTTTTCTTATTTTCATCCTATCATTTTCTTAATTGTTAGCATAGAAATTGGAATTTTGAAATTTAAAATTCATTGATGTTAATGCAATCGCCGCCGACAGTTCAGTTTAAACCCTAATTTTCTTAATTGAATGATTCTGGGTTGTGTTTTGTTTTTGGTATTGATTGATAATATCAATGATTTCAAAAAAGTTTATTGAGAAATTTTTATTGGGCTCTGAGCAAATTTGTATCAGTTTTGTGTGTATAAACAATATTAGACCTAGTTTAGTTGCTGAACACCATTAGAAAACCAAAACCATTATAATCTTTAAATGTTGCTGTGTAATTAAAAGACTCTTTGGTTATAAAACTTTGAGTTTTTTCATTAGTTTCATGATAGTGTACTAAATCTTATGTATGTAGTGAAAAATAATGTAATTTTTGAGTTTTTAGTTGTCTAATTTGGTAGTTAGAAATATAATTCACTAACTAGCTTAGGAATTTTAAATTGTGGAGTTTAACAGGCTTGATCAATATGGATGAGGAAGCATCTAGGACTGCAAGAGAGTCACTAGAGCTTGTGTTTCGCATGTCAAACATCTTGGACACGGGACTGGACCGGCATACTTTGTCAGTTCTCATAGCTCTTTGTGATCTTGGTGTTAATCCTGAGGCTCTAGCTACTGTTGTGAAGGAGCTTCGACGCGAGTCTATCCCTGATTCTGTCACAACCACGCCATCATAATTCATACACTTTCGATACACTGATCAGGTATTGAGAATTTTCTCGGTCTAATGATGATTGGCGAGTCTATACCCGACTCTGTGTCTTTCTGTTTGGTATGTGAAATGTTACTGCTTATTGTATGATTAGAAGAAATTTGTATGGATGAATTGTAATTTCTTTTATTTGTATGAACAAGAGACAAGAAGACTGAGTTCTACTCTTTCACAATGGCTAATACATCCATAAATTTCTGAATGTTTTGTTTGCTCTATTACTTGTGCTTCTTTAGTTTTTAACGTTTACATATACTTACTTATCCTTTGTGAAAAATCAATCTATGGTACATCGGTAGTAAGAAAATATCATGATCGGTTTCACTAGTTAATCTACTCGTAAGTATACGGTAATAATTTCGGCGTAAATGGTTAAACTTTTGGAAGAGAAGCAGTATGTATATATAGACAAGGAACCAAAGTGATAAGCTAGTTATATGCCCACACTCAACGGTTACTCTTCACTCTCACTCATCTCACATTCATCATCACTCCACAACTGTACAGCTAAAGAATATTACTCACACTGAACACTTTTTCAACTCTATTGTTTGCCAAAATCAGGCACGGTCACAAATTAGTAGCCGAGCAACATCCTAGAGGAGGAGTTGATTGCTTCTTCAAAGCAATGGCCCCGACACTGAACCTTTTGGTTAGTATGGTGTTACCTTTTTAACAGTTTAGCAGCCTGGTAGAGAGCTCGCAGACAAAAAGTGAGGGAAAGACCTGCGCGAGACGTTTAGGTGAAGTGAATTCTCGCGCTGGCTTGTTGACGATCCAACAACCCAGCTCCTTGATGCATTTCCTGGGCTAAGTATGTGCGTATATCTTGAGTGGAGGGAACGAGGCAAAGAACCCAGGCGGGGTGAGTTGTAAGATCTTTGGGAAACGGCGTTCCTGAGATCCGCTGAACTCCGGCTAACTGGTATAGGCCGGGAAAAGCGGTATGACCCATTTTGGAAGCTTGTGTGGGAGCGAGAGTGGGAAAGATACATAGGGACTGTGTGTGGCTGCATTGAGGTGGATGGTAAAGAAGGGTCTACTCTGATAAATATTGGTAGCTCATGAGATGACTGCAATGGGGTTGTGGAGGATGATGATAAGAGAAACGATGACGTTGGGGTCATGCTATTGCTAGGAGTAAGCAAGGGTGTGTGCTCTGATGCGGGCATATCAATGCTGATACTTCTCGCATCGCGTTTGCAAACAGGGCAAAATGATCTCCTTTGGCCAAGCCACAAGTCTACACATCCAACATGAAATTCTGCCAAGACAACAACCAATTAAGAATGATTATACATGAATTCTTTTCACTTTGAAGTGAGTCAAAGTACTTACTGTGATGGCAAGGGAGGATCCTTAGCTTGTCTCCGATGCGATAATCCTCAATGCATATAGCACACGAAATAGAAGTAGATGCTTCATCGCAAACACCCTTAAATATTGTAGTAGGCATGCGTTTTAGCATGTTTTTGGCCATACGAGGAAAGTCATTGCCATTAAGAGCCAGAATACGTCGGCGCCTAACTCGATGCCTACGGACAAAGAAGCAAGTGGCGAGCACCGCAGACATAGCGAGGAGAGATATGAACGAGATAGCCATGATTGACCAAGCTGAAGTCTCGAAACTTGGCATGAGCCACACTTCAAAATCGGTGCGACCCGCATACTGTGTTAGTACTTCCCCAGTTGCTTTGGAGACAAACGTACCATAAATAAGTACACCAGAGGGATTTCCAGCCACTACATTAGATTCACAAGATCATTACCAATCGTTATTATAACAATCTTGAAACAGATTTCTGTTCTACTAAATGAGAAAATTGAAGAACAAACTCAATCTCAAGAACAAGCCAATTCAAAGAGCCCTAGGGTGAACCTTACGCGCTCCTCCCACACTACACTAAGTGACCTCGGTTGTTCGGTAGCTGAGCTAGAAACTAACAAACAATCCTATGCAAAAGGTCTATGGTAGCTTTCCCTCCTCTATGGTAACAACTAATGTATGTAACCAAAGTTTCAAACAGCAAATCTAAACAAGAAACAATACAAAACTTAAGACAAAATAACGAAAAAAGCCGAGGGAGAGATATGTTTACTTGATACTAAGAACCCATAATCTTCATAATCATAAACAATAGCAGCTTTATATCCAGCCTTTTGCGCATTCCTAATCTTCTCTTCAAAACTACAGCCACCGCGGATAATCAAAACATATGGAGGAGGAACACTTGATCCATTTTTCACATTCACTGTATTAACCAAATCCGAACAAGCATCGAGCGGCTCTGCTACATACAACACACCGCCTTGATCCGATCTTTTAATCATCGGAGCTGAAAACAAAGTAATCAACAATCATCATATTATCATGAAGCTAATCATCAAAACCCAATTAACAAAAACTGATCAAAACCCAATTTCTCAAATCTAATTTGGAACATTTCAAACAAACAATAACTTGAAAAAGACAACAAAGATTCAAACTTTATCAAACCCAAATCCGCTAATTCTCTTATTAAGGCCAAAGATTCCATTACATAACTCAAGACTTTTGAATTTTTCTTACAGTAATCGATAGAACAGTAAAAAGAACTTACTGAAATTGGCTTCGATGTCGTCGAAGGAAAGAGATGTGTTCTTCCCTATCAATAGAATTTTTGCAGAAACCAAGTGTGACATTAGTAACAGAGACAAGATTGCAATCGAAGAACGAGTCATGTTTCCTTAAGCTTTAATCGAAGTAAACCCAAAAATGAATATTGAATCGGAAGAGAAAGAAGGAAATTGGAAGAAGAAATTGAAAAAGTATTTTAGGGTTTTAATTGGAAATGATATTAAACACTTGAGCTTCCATAGAAGGCGAGGTAAAGAGACCAGAGACTCTGAGAATATCTAGAATTGTTCAGAATAATTGTTTTTTGTTTTTATTTTTGTTTGTAGCAGTTAAGTTTGGAATTATTCGGAAAGGTACCCTAAGTATTTGTTTTTTCTATAAGGACCTTAAAATAAGTCACATGAAAATATCTAAAGTACTACTGTTTATAGATATTATGGCTCTTATCGGTTTGTATCATCACATAATGGCATAAGTTGTAGATAAAAATTGGCAGAATGAAAAATGGTAGAATGAAATTACTTAAAACAGTTTGTTGATTGGATAAATTTTACGTAATAGCAAAATATAATATTATATATCATATAATGGCGGAATTGCTTTTTCTCATATGATTATGTAATAAGTTTGCCAATAATTCTTTTTGTATAATCGCATTAGAAACCGCAAAAACGTAGGATTTGCGTTTTCACCTAAACATATAAGTAAAACTCATTATGCAAATAAGTGGATATATAGTTGCTTATTTGTATAATAGATTTTTATTATTTTACCCACACAATATATTAGCAATTAGAAAAATAAGAAATAATTGTTTACAATGAAACTTATACCATTTTCGAATAATATTTAAAAATTGCACAATGTTTCAACAATTTTTAATATTTTATATTTTTATTATAAAATATTATTTAAAATTTCTTGAAAATTATTTTTTATTAAATATAAATATATATTTGTGATATATATATATATATATATATATATATATATATATATATATATATATATATATATATATATTATATACACCATTATACAAAATAAATCCAATAAGCATATTTTTTTATTCAAGGATTTTTGATTCTGCATGTTTTCATTCTACGACTTATGTTATTATATATGCGATTATGCAATATTACCGAACAGATTGCTAATTTTAGAAAAACATTTTTTGAGTCATGATCTCTAATTATGAAAGAGAACTCTGGCTGGCAAATTAGTTCAAGATTTTAAAATAGTAGTAAAGTAATCTGATGAAATTTTACAAGTAAGTTGACTAAGAAAATAACTAATTTTTTTTTCTAACTGAATAAGTGAGAAATTGTGGACCAAATTTTAAAACGAAAAAAAATGTTTAGCGATTTAATTAGTTAATACTATTGATAAAACTAAATAAATAATTTAATATGATTTTAAAAATTAATATTAAAGATTAATGTTTCAACAAGTAAAATTGAATTATTCTTCTTGAATTCTTTGAAATTTTGAAAATATTACCCAAATCTATACTAGTATTTTTGCAACACTTTGGTGACGGGTGGGTAAAAATGCTTCCGGATATATCGGATACCCGACCCGTTTTTAAAATTCCTTCACAAAAAATTTGTTGGGTCGGGTTATATTTAGAGAAATTGTTAAAAATATTTAGAGAAATTGTTAAAAATGCCCCTTTTTCAATACCCCTTTTCAAAAATGCCCCTTTTGAGAGTCCATTTTTAAGTTTGCCCTCTTTTAATTTTTAATGACCATTTTACCCTTATTTGAAACAAAATTAGGTCCACAAAATACAAAATATTTTTTGGCGTCAAAAGTGATCCCGCAATTTTCCAGCCAAAACACTTGTAAAAACCTTTAAAATACCTTGTAAAATTTTCCCGTAAAAATTTTTCCCGCCAAAAAATTTTCCCGCCAAAAATTTTTTTTTGCGGGAAAAGTGATTCCGCAATTTTTTTGGCGGGAAAATTTTTGGCGGGAAAAATTTACAAGGTATTTTAAAGGTTTTACGGAGTATTTACAAGTGTTTTGTAAGGTTTTACAATGTATTTTAAAAGGTTTTACAAGGTACTTATAAGGTTTTATAAGGTATTTATAACTTGTAAAACTTTATAAAAAACTTGTAAAACCTTATAACTTGTAAAACCTTATAAAATAGCTTGTAAAATCTTATAATATCTTATAAATACTTTATAAATACGTTGTAAAACCTTTTAAAATACATTGTAAAACCTTATAAATACCCTGTAAAAACCCTTTAAAATACCTTGTAAATTTTTCCCGCCAAAAATTTAACGCCAAAAAATTTGCGGAATCACTTTTCCCGCAAAAAAATTTTTTTGGCGGGAAAATTTTTTGGCGGGAAAAAATTTTACGGGAAAATTTTACAAGGTATTTTAAAGGTTTTACAAATTTTTACAAGTATTTTGGCGGGAAAAATTGGGGGATCACTTTTCCCGCCAAAAAATATTTTGTATTTTGTGGACCTAATTTTGTTATATTTCCTTATATATTTATGATATCTTTTATTAAAAGAAGGGTAATTTAGTCATTTTGTACATAAAAAGGTATTTTTAAAAATGGACATCCAAAGGGGGCATTTTTGAAAAGGGGTATTGAAAAAGGGGCATTTTTGTGAGTCTCCCTTATATTTAACCCAACTCATACACCGGATATTCCATATTTAATAATTTAGATATTTAGAAGATTTGATTAATATTTATAATTATGGTTCTCCTACCATCTTTGTTTGATTTCTTTTTAACTGTTTTGAATCATCATATAATACATAAAATAAAATAAAAAATCAATTTTTTTTTCTGCATATACTGTGATTCGAAATTTTAAAAACGGACATATATTATCCAATTGACGAAAATGTGTGTTCAACGTTCTACATCGATTAAAATATTTAGACAATGATTCAGAATCATATCATAAATAAGAACATTAATAAAATAAATGAGTTTTTTTGCCGGACGGATTTGGCGAGACGGGTTTTTGAATCAACAATAATAAAAAGATTAAAATATCATTAATCCGCCGCTTCAATACGGATTAAATCCTTTTTTTAATACCAATTGTCCCGTGGTATAATGTTTCGTGGTCTTAGAGGATGATATGATTTGTAAACTTTTATATAATAAATAATTATTAAATATTAAAATAAAAAGAAAACACGGGATGGGTTAAGAAATTACGGAACGGGTTATATTTCAGAAAGGATTTATATGGCGGACGAATTTGAATCAAAATTTATATACCACTTTAATACGGGTTAAATCCTCCGTGTATTAATAATTGTCTCGTGGACTCGTGGTATACCGTTAATTATATAACAATTATAAACTATAATTTAAATAAATATGTTATAAGGAGATACAATTTATAAAATATTTTTATACTAACTTTAAAATTAAATTATTCCGCGGTGAACCGCGGGTTAAAATCTAGTAATAGATATTAAACATATGCATCATAAGAATGAGGTTGTCCACGTCGAGACGGATTACTTGACCCATCCTATCCCAAATTTCCAATACCATGGTCCATACCCATGAGTCATGACCCTTAGAGTAATCCAATGAAAATAGTTTGTTTTATTCCAATATAACGAAAACATGTTAAATATGAGACGAGATATCCAAAATATCCATTCTTTATTTTAAATTATTACAACAAATGATGTAACATTGTTTTTCGACAACATTATAGTTATAAAAAAAAATTATGTTAGCATTTACCCTTATAGTCTCTTTGGATCTGGTATCAAAGCATATTAAATGGAATACAATTTTAGTCTCCTCCACCGCACCGACATAAGGCCCCAAATGGCAATCCGATTCGGGGGAGATGTGATGACCCTAATCGCATGTTACAATCGAATGGCAAAACGATTAGAGTGTGATGTGATTCAAGTGTTGTTAGCAAGCGATTAGGTTCTTGTAATTTACTCTTACTCTAATCGTTGCACAAACGGAATTTAAACCTACGATTAGGGTGCGGCAAGTGTGAGTTATAGGTATATTTACCAATATCCTCAATTATTTTTATTATATCTAATTAACAAATTTTAATATTTAATAATTAAAAATATGATTACAACAAAATTTCCGTTTTTGGCGGTAATTTGAAATTTACATATTTTTCTGGAAAAAAAGAAATTCACATTGTTGACAAAAAGAAAAAAAAAAAAAAAAATTCACATTTTTGGCGAGAAAACAAGGAATCACGTTTTGGCGGGAAAACGAGGAATTTTACAGATGAACGGTTTTTTTTTTCTAAACCTCGAAATTTAATCGCACGATTCCAACCAGCGACTCATTTAAAAAGCAACTGTCTAATGTTGAATTTTCTCTTCAATCAAATGTGAGTTCGCAGATGTTGAACCCCTCGTAGAAAGTGACAACTCGTCAATCACCTCAATTTTTTTCTTCGGATCAATTCGGTGAGAGGCCAGAGATTGCGGCAGTCTTTAAAACGCAAGCATTACTCAAGATATATTTCACCAGAGCTATCTCTTTCCGCGATCCATTGAACCTATTCCACTTGAAAGTTTTCAGACTCCACAACAAACATTTAGGAACACTCTCTAGTTGAATCTTCCAAAAATCTGATGGATCCTCACAACTAACATAATGACCCAGCTGATATCAAAAAGAATAGCTTGGCTTAAAAACCTTTATAATACATTATTAGACCAACATATATATATATATATATTGAAGAAACTTACATCATTCATCATGTCGAACTCGAGTTTTCGTAAACTAGGTGAATCTTTGAGTAACCTAGCAAGTAACTCTGGCTAATGTGACTCACATGAACATAGCTTAAGATAACTAGACATAATATATATATATATTAACTTACTCTAGAAGATCATCTTTCAAACGAGCATTTACATTTTTCTCTACATTTTACGGTTATCATATTTAATGCGACAAGGTTGGACCTGAAGTTATTGTGTGTGTGCTAGATCTATGCGTTTGTACGATGTGAGAGTGTAACGAGTGCAAAGAGCATAAAGTAAAGAGACGCAGAGATTTGTTAACGGGGTTCGGTTAACAACCTACATCCCCGGGAACTAGTCCAGAAATCAATCCACTAGAAGAAGATTGCAAATACAATTGCATATGATATTACAGCATAACTATGCCTACCATTCTTTTCTAGATGGACTTTGAAAACAGTAGCAAGCCACGCATGCCTTGACTACCACTCGGCATCACCGGTGCATCACCGTCTTCTCTAACGGCTGCAGATTCCAAAGGAATACCACCATTAGATCTTCATCTGACTTGGTGGGGCGACGCCACACACGCATGTGTGCCTCTTTCTCAAATATACCACAGACGCGCAATCTTTCTTTGTCACGGCAGCCATCTATATATACTCAAGACAAAACCCTAAGCTCCAAATATTCTCGCAATCTTTTTTCCTTGATTCGAAAGTATCTGAGCCACCACTAAAGGAAACATCACGTCTCCAATAGAATCACGCCACGTCATCTTAATTCCCAACTTGATTCTTTCTGCGTTCAGTTCTCTTGTTGTGTTACACAGCTGCTGCATGTGGAACACAACTCTGATACTTTCTGTTGATACTCTTGCGTCACACAGATCATGGAGCCAATACCTTTGTTGTTGTCTGCATAAACTCTTGTGTCACACACACGTCCTGTTATCCTCTCACCTCTTGAGCTGTGCTATCATCTTGAGTCTAACAACCAGTTACAAACATACCTTCAGGACCAGCCATATAAATCCAAACTTTGTGATTATAAAAAAACGAAACCCTCATTATGCTAGTAGGAAGAAAGAGCTTAGTGCGGCTCCAGCAACGCCTCCTGCAGCGGCTAATGCAATAGCTTGAACCACAGCAGTAATGGATGTTATTCTAAGGCCGCCACTTCCACGGGACAGCCTCCTTGAGATCAATTTACATGACTTTTCAGCTTCTTTATAAAGTAAACAATTGGCTCCTCCTTCAGTGATGGCTTTTTTGTTCTACAAACATCGCAGGTCAGGTCAATACAACCGAGCGGAGGGTGAAATTAGTTATAGCTTAGAAGAGTATAGAGCTGCAATACCTTTAGCCTGAAGTTATTAATAGTTTGACTGACAATAAGAGTATCACCTAGTGATGATGATAATTTAGGGGTAAACGTTCCATTCATCTACAAGCTTTCTAAGAAGAGAAACACTAGCTTCTAGATTCTCCTTAAGAGAATATCCCATTGCTTAAAGCAATCAACGTTTTCTGTCACCGACCAGATAGCGATTGCTACAGCTTCCTTGGCTAGACCAATGTTTCGTTTGTTACCACTAGCACCTTCTCCAGCTAATTTCAAGGAAAATGTGAATATCTGTTCCACTGCTTTCCCTTCTGTTGCACTCTTTGGTGCAAGGGCTACTTCTTTCAACAAGGGATAAACTTTCTCAAACCTCTTTGTTGCCTGTGCTCATACAGAGACCATGTTTGTGATCAGAATCTACAAACGTTTTTTTTTTTTTTTCCTTTGATAAATTCTAATACTACTGCTTACCTTTACTCTAGCGGATGAAGAAGGGAATGTAAGCCGCAACAAGATCTCAAATGAAGAAGGTGGAATCCGCCACTCTCCCTTCCTAACAGCTCGATTTACAAGTATGGTCCGAGCCTCTGGATTTAACAAAATGCTGTATAAACAAGATAAGATGGTTAATATACAACAGAGGAGATCACAAGAATAAGTTTTGGACTCACATCTCAACAAATTGTAGAATGAGATCCATTGATTGACGGCTGTAGCTCTTGCAATTACCGACTAGTGGTAACAGGTTATGCGCCCATGAATACAAGCCATCGGATAAATCACCGCGGGAGGCATGCATGCCACCATTTTACTTTTCAAAAACTTTTTAACAAAACACAAATTTCGACACTCTTGGTCCTAGTTCACATAAGGGGACACAAAAAATAACCTGAGCCAGCATCCAAACTATAACCGGAAGCTTGTCTTGGCCTTGATACCTAGGTCTCCACTCAGCATCGGCAAAATAGTAGTCAAAGCATCAGGCTTACTACGCAATATCATCACTAATTCAACAACTGTCGCTAACTGTAAAACACAATGGAGTTAGACAAACACAATGCATATGCGAAAATCAATGCGTTTTCCAAACGTTACTTGAGATTTTGAAGAATAGACTTGTGTATCTCCTTTTTGTACTGCCCAATCAGAGAGAATACGTTCAAGAACCCACGTTACAAACTGCCAGTGATCAAATGGAAGTTGCTTGATCCACTCGGTCGATGTTTCGTAGACAGCTTAAGGAATATGAGATAGTGGAAACTGTTCATTAGTAAGCATCTAAACCTAGACTTTTGATTTGAAAATCTCACAAAACGTAAAAGAAATAGCTCACATCGATCAGCTTGGATAAAGGATATTCCTTTAACATCTTTAACCATTATAATGATACTTGCGAAAATGTGTTCTCAAGGTAAAAGTTAAACCTCCATAATTCAAGTTCCGGCACAATCTGTTAACAAACAAGGACAAAAATTGAAAACTGACTTTGTGGGTTATCGTTTCCGAGTTTCACATCGCATTATCACTTACATTGTACTCGGCGAGGGATGTCGCAAGATATGAAGGATCAATCTTTGCCACGGCTCCGGACAATGAAGCCATCGCTTTTTCAGTTTCCTCCGCCTCGGAAGCAACCATCAGTGCACTGAAGACGTTATAGCTGCCGTTAGTTAGGGTTTTATTCCCAACCATCTTTCCGCCACTAGCTGTCTGATCAGCCGGTTTTTGCTTCTGATGGCACTTCCGGTACACGACTTGCTGCCATCCATGGTTGTTGTGGGAGTAATCGGTAGAGGTAGCCATTAGGTTTTTGATAAGCTTTTGCTTATCACTACAAGAAAACCTGCGTTTTGCAACTTAACTTTGCGACCGAATTATTAGTCGCAAATGTTTGCGACTATTTTGTGACTTCTGAACGATCATTTAGCGACCACAATATTGACCGATGGAATATAGTCGCTATTCCGCGACTAAAACAAACGGTCTTTACTTGGTCGTTAATTTGCGACGATTTTAAGACCGATTACATACTAATTTATTATAGTCGCAAGCGGGTGGCTGATATGCGACTGATGTGCGACTCAACTTTTGGTCTCAAATGATCGTCGCAATGTAGTCTCAAATGTGCAACTAGTTAACAACCACTTGTTATAGTTACACTTTCGTTGCAAATTAGTTAGAAAGAGTTGGTATAAAACACGTTAAAAAAGTAGCGATAGCTACCGGTTTGCAACTAGCACCTGAAGATTTTGCGACTGACACCTGATAAAGCGACCAGTTTGCAACTATTTACCAACTCTCGATTTTTGTTTTCTCAATTTTCACATTTTAAATTTGTTTGCATATAAAGTTAAACAATTCTACACTCATTTGATGTTACTTAGTAATAAAATCTTAACCAAAGACATAAATATTGATGTTTAAAAACAAAACATTCAAAACATTCAAATCTCTTTGTCTTGTTACATTACTCTTATGAGTAATGTTTAGAGATTTAGTAAAATATCTATATTACTTGAGTTTTGCAAAAAAATTTCAACCTTAAACTAATATATGTCCTCTATAACACTAATATGAGTGTTTTTGAGTGATATATATCACCATTTTGGATCACTATGTGTAGATTTCTAAATTTTATCTTGTGACTAGAAGATACTAGTCACAAAACCGTCGCAAAATTGCCACTATTTTGTAACTATTACTAAGTTTGCGACTATTTTGCGACAACAGTTGTAACTATTTGCCGACCAATGTTGCGACTAATTTGGTACTCTTATGAGTAATGTTTAGAGATTTAGTAAAATATCTATATTACTTGAGTTTTAATAAGTTTTTCAACCTTAAACTAATATATGTCATCTATAACACTAATATGAGTGTTTTTGAGTGATATATATTACCATTTTTGATCACAATCTGTAGATTTATAAATTTTGTCTTGTGACTAATAGACGAAAGTCACAAAACGGTCGCAGTTTTGCCACCATTTTGTAACTATTGTTCATTTAGCAACTATTGTGCGACGAATAATGCAACTATTTGCCGACACATAGTGCGACTATTTAGCTACGGTTTGTGAAATTTCTATGATTTTGGCTAAGTGTTTGGGCGGTTACGATTCCCCCCAATTTTTTTACTTTGTCACTAATTTGCGACTAAAGAGCGACCAATACACTTAATTATTAGGTTAAAACAAAGTCGATTCTTCACTTTCTCATTTCCCCCAATTTCGATCTAGGGTTTTCTCCTTCTCTCCACTTCACTACGATTTTCGATTTTCTTCTCAAATCTCCTCAAAAGTCTTCAAATCTTCTCAATTCTTCGAATCTCAGTCTCAAATCACTTCGTTCCTTTCCTCTGAGTTCGAATCGATTGTCTCAAACCCTAAATTTCGACTCAAACTGCGATTTTCATGGCTCCTAAAGGTAAATCCTCACGAGGCCGTGGTGGGGGTCAGAACACCAGAGCAACAGCCGCTGGAGGAGACCATAACTCTAGAGCAGTAGCCGCTGATCCAGTCGAGAGCACTAGACCTGCAGCCGCTGGAGGAGGCGAGACCAGTCGCCGCGGAGGGGGCGAGACCAGTAGCCGTGGAGGACACCAGACCAGTAGCCGCGGAGGAACAAGAACATGTTTAGGTTACTCTGACTCTTATTTACCAGTTTTCATGATTACTACTTGGTCCCCTTCAATTAGCAAATATTTCAAATGTGCTTATGATTGATCTAAACAGATTTTTAATGTCTTTTCTGTATAGGTGCATTTGCAGTTGAAATGGAAAGCTCTTGGAAGATTTAGTTCCTAGCTGCTCATGAAGGTGTTTTCGTAAATATTGATAGTGATCAGTTTGACTTGAATAATATTGTGGAAGCTTGAAGAATTGCTGGTAAGAAAGTCAATGTACTGTTGTGTGTCGATCCTCAAGTATGGTTAATTTTTTTAAATGTTTTAGCATAATGTTTTACATTTTTTTAACATATCTGTTCAACACAGCTTGGTTATGAGTGAGCTTTTCTGCTTTGTTTCATTTTTAGGTGCATCCTTATATGTAGCTACTTATTGGGAACAAGAACTTTGGTATCAAGAACGAAAAGCTATAATGGTTTCTGGATGAGGGAGGTGAATTCACATCCCTAACTGCTAAAGCTTGTTGGGACTCATTGCCATCTAAGCTCAACCATTACAAAGGTAACTCCGATTATAGTTGTTTTAAGTTGTGTTTAGACCAGTTGAATACGAATTGCTCTCTAATCTCTATTTATGCTTGCTCTTGCTCTGTCTCTTATGAGCCCTACATATTTGCGTATGTTTTGTTTATTCCAGGTGGATATATTTGTCCCCTTTCTTTTTACTTGGTATGTTTATACTTGCAGGTGTATCTACGTAACATGCAGAATGGTTTAAGGTTTTCTCATTCGCCAGATCTTGATTGAGGTTAGTTTGACTCTAATTTCTCAGTGTTATAATATTGAACTTCACTTTCTTTTACCAACTACAAATGAGTGATAAGATCATAACCTGTTCAATCAGTTTGGGTTCCCTCTTCGGCTCTGTTTATGTGGGATTGTTTGCAAAGGGACTTGATAGCACAAAGACGTAGTAGTTTTGTCTCTTCTGTGGTATTTGATCTTCGTTTTCTCTTCAAATCTAGTATTATTCGTACTGTTTGATAACACCATAATGCTTTAATCTTGATCATAAATAGATTACATTGTGTGTCCTGAAGGAAATTGATCAAAAAACTTTCTTGTTTAGCCTAGTGTTGTTTTACATGTCTGTCATGAAGCGAATGTTATTGTTCACCAATTTGGAATTTAGGCTCTTAGTTATTAGTTGCTACCTTAAAATTTATGCATATCACTCTCTCTATTTGGTCTCTTAAATTCTGGATGCAGGTAGTAGTTGTTCAATTCATCCCATGTTTGGTCGGTTAGTGTTTGAGGTTTCCTAATTTTTTGAACCATGTCTGGACATGGGCTACTATAGCAATATGTAAGTGCTTTTTGTTTTCTTTTCTTTTTTCTTTAGCTCTTTACTTTGGAATTTGTTGTCATCTTTCTTTGGTCTAAAGCACGATACTATTGCAGGTCTTTGATCCTTTAATTTTATCCTAAAACCAAAGAGCTATGGTAAGAGTTCCTGAAAGCACGATACTATTGCAGGTCTTTATGAAAGACAAGGATCCTGACTTGGTAGCCTTCATGTCTTCTTCTCCACTCCAGCAACCACCAGTCATCATACCACCCAGCACACAAACAGGCACCCTTCCAGACACCACAGCAGCAGCAGTCCAACCAGCAGGACTCACCACTGGAACCACACCAACCTCCCCTTTATCTAACACCGCCTCTAATCATTGAACTTGATTTTTATTTCCTTTTGTCTTTGTGATCATGAAAACTTATTAAGATATGTTATGCTCTAATTAGGATGATATTTGAATGGTTTGGAAGTACTTGAATGATATTTGAATGGTTGAATGTAGCATTTGCTTTTGAAATGGACATGTTTCGGATTAATAAGATGTAACTAATCTGTGACCAAACTGTTTAAGAAAATGTGACTAGTTTGTGACCAGAACAAGTAACAAATGTGACCAAATTGTGACTAAACATAATTAGAAATAACTCCAAATCTCGTATCAAATTGGTTACTAATAGAGGACTATTTTATCACCAAATTATAAGAGTCTCATATTAGTCGCACAATATTACCTCTCTAAACAGTCGCAAATGAGTCGCACTGTGGGACCAATTATGTGTGGTTACTGTGGATGTCGGATTCACACACTCAAGTATTTTGTTAAGTGGGAAAGATTATTCTTGAGGGACAAAAATGAATGTATAAAAACTTGTAAAATTACTATGAAAATTGCTATATTATTTCTTCTTGAGAGGAAGATCCCCTTTACATGGCCATTGGCCTCTATATTTATACATAGATAAGCGACATTAAAATGGATAATTAAGTACAATTATTCCTTCTTAAATGTGTCCGTTTTGATTCTTCGACTTTAATGCTCAACGTTTGAATTTGAGTTGACTCTGATCTTCATGGGCCTCGCCTTTTTGGCCCAAGTGTCCTTGAACCGACTTACCCGCGTCTTCTACACCGAACTCGTATCACAGTGCAGTCACTTCGGATTCTCGAAGTGGTGACAACCACTTCGACCGTCCCCTCGGTTCACGGGCCCAATGGGCTTCATCCTTTATGGGCCACCCGCTTGACTACGTGGCAATCTTTGGTTGGTCTCGTACTTCTGGTGCGGGATCCGACACCAACAATTAGCCCCCCAAGTTCTTCGAAGTGCTATTCCAATTCGGAGGACTTTAAATGCTCAAGTGGCCAAAGATTGCGCTCGAGAATCTTTCTGATTTCCCGCCGAAAATCTCATCACTCCTTTAATTTCGGCACTAGCCATTTTTAACCGAGTGACATCTGTCATCATTATGACCGTATATTGATTAATTACTATTAAAACGGGAAAAACCTTCCCACTTCCCACACGACTTCCAAGGCGGTTTCATCATTAGCTTGAGGTAACTTCTTTTCACCATTACTCTCTTCTTTTACTTTTGTACTTTAATCAAAACCTCTCTCTTCGTTCCTTCACCAAAACCCCTCTTCGCCGGATCTTGAATTTTTCTTTCTTCCCAATGACTTCCGATTCCGATAGACCCGAGTCTCCGTCTTTCGACGAGAGGCGTTCTAGTAACGACGAGTGCACCCGCCCTGGTGATATTGCCGGTCCGCACTATAGGTCCATTTGTACTCTTCAATCCCTCGAGCGATTGAGAGAGCTTTGCCGGATTCCGCCGGAAATTATGGCGGAAGCACAAATAGCTTCCCCCACAGAATCTCCAGAGAACCATCGCGATGGTTACTTCTGTGTGTATGAGATTTATTTCAAGGGTTGCGGGCTGACCTTTCCTCTTCCCGAAGCCCTAATTTTATACCTAGCGGCCCTTGAAATCGCTCTTCCTCAATTAACCCCCAATCTTCTTCGTACTATTCTTGGCATTATAACAATCGCGGCGGAGGCCGGTTACGTTATCGGAGTTGCTGAACTAAATGAGCTTCTGAGTGTGAGAAGTTCATCGAAGAAAGCGGGGTACTTCTCAGCATATCCTAATGCCAACAGGAACATCATTTCACATCTTCCGAACAAGGATGAAAATTGGCATCATCCTTGGTTTCTAATTAAGAAAACTCCCGCTTCGATTGGAAATCTCGCAGATTTTCTCCCTTCGAAGTGGTCCGCGAAACCCGGTAGTGATTAGGTTGCCCGTATCTTTCCCGGTTGTTTCTTTATCTTTATTGACTAACACCGTTGTTTCATTTCGCAGCTTTCATCGCTTCCAATCTCCCATCTGAAGAGTTCATCGAATTCTTCAAAATAATTCTTGAAGGGGAAACCCTTTGGAATTCCTTCACTCTTGAACGATTCCTAGAGGCTAACCACAGACTCAGGATGAGTCCGCCTGGTCATCTTCACCAAATTCCTCCCCCTCCCTCAACTCAGGGAATGTCATCTCGGGCCCTTGCGGACAAGCGTAAGTTGCTTTCCAAGCCGATGGCTGAGGCTTGCGAGGAGAAGAAAAAGTTTCTCGCGACTTCTATAGACAAGAAGGACTATAGTAGGACCTTGCTGGTTGATGATGGCAGTACCGAGGGAGCCCGATCTGTTGCTTCCTTCAGACTAACTCCTCGTCGCGACCGCCGCGACTCACGTTCTCCTCGGAGGGATCAATCTCCTCGCCGTGATTCACCTCGTCCTCCCCGAGATGATTTTAGTAACGAGCCAATTAAGAACTTGGTTCGCCGGAAGAGAGACAAGTCCTCTCGCAGTGATCCTTCCCCGCAGAGGGAAAAGTCAAGGGCCCGGACTGACCGCTCACCTCGGTCATCCCCTCCTTCTGAACCAATGGGTCCTCCACGACCGGTTGACATGTCCTCCTCTTCCCAGCCGGATAGTGGAAAGACTGCCCGGAGCGCGTCTCCGAAAAAGGGAGATTCTGAATCTCGAGATGCTCCCTCGAGGCTGAAGCCTGCTCTTGTCCCTCAAGTCAAATCGCTTTCAGGTTTGGTGATTTACACATACTTAAACTTTTTGTCTTTATTAAAATTCCAATTTTTACAACTCTTCCTTCTTCGCAGCTATGGAGAAAGAGGGCAGCGTCTTCCGATGCTTCAAGACCCGGTCAGGTTCGATCTTGCCAGACTTCGACAAATGGCGCCCTGCGATTCGTGAACGTTATTTGCTTCACGCGCATCACTCATCTCGGGTTAGTTCCGCTTTCTTTTATGTATATTTTTTATTGTATTGCCATTCTGCGAACTGACTCGTCATCCCGGGTTCATGTATGACGCCAGGCTCATAGCGAATTTAACGACATGATCGAACATTACGAAGGGTTGGTCATTGGACGGGAGAAGGAGATTGACATGTGGAAAAAGAAACTCTCTGCCCTTGAGGCTGAACTCAGTTCTTCTGCCGGCTCTAAACACGATCTGGAGGACAAAGTCGATAATTTAACATCCGAGCTTGCGCAGATAAAGGGGGAGCTGCAGGGTCAGTACGACCAGAACTTCAAGCTCCAGGAAGAGTTTTCTGGTGTTCAAGGTAGGCTTCAAGAGTCCGAATCAAACGCTGATTCCCTGAACAACCAACTCATCGAGCTCAACGCGAAGTACAAGGCGATTGCCAAATTGCGTGACTCCGAGTTGGCGAGGTCGGCATCAAAAGCCAGAAAAGAGGTTAAGGGACGCGGGATGGAGTTGATCCAAGGGGCCATCCGATTCATGCAGACTGAGAAGGCTAGATCTGACTTGGAATCAGACATCAAGGAGCACGAGAGCAACCTGATCCTGCTGGATCAAATCCATGATACAGATTTCTCCGAGGATCAAGAGAGAACCGAACTGTCGGCTAATCTTTCTGAAAAGCGGAGTCGCTTGGCAGCTCTTCCTACTTCGACCTTCAACCCTCAGGACTTCGAGGAATTCTTCACTGAATCGCCTCCTATAAGCGAATCAGGTCTAGACTGGGCAGGTAATGCTTGGCCCCTGATATTTATTACCTTTCCTTTTCTTGTACCTTTGATTGACTGGAATTATTATTCCTAGGCTCAAGTGAGATGGAAGACGTTGTCCCGCCCGTAGCTCCTATGGTACCGGAGGTCACTCCGGAGGTTGGTTGTACCGCGGAGGGTGGTCAAGGAGCTTCATCTGATCAAGCAGCTGCCAAGGAGGCGAATGAAGCTTCGACTGTTGAGCCGGATTCCGAGGTGGCTGCTGTTCCGTAGTGGCTGTGTCCACTTTAAATTGGGGATTGTCCCTTTATTTTTAAGACTTAATTTCAAACTTATTTTTGCCTAAGGAGGCTTTATTATTTTCTTTTGAACAAGATATTTGCCTGAGGAGGCTTTTAAACCTTTCTAGGTTGTGACCCAAGGGGGTTTGGTTAAAATTATATGCGGGTTTGCAAAGTCCGCTTTTAACCTTTTGTGGCCTTGTGGCAATGCTTTCGAGATTTTTAGGCTGATCAGACCTTTCTCTTTAGAATGCGAGAGCTGAGCTCGGCTTAACGCGAGTTCCCCACTTCGGGTTTAGTCAACTCGGTAAACTTGTTAGGCTTGGGCCTTAGAAACTTTTGCAGTTAATGCGACGGTTGCTCTTTCCCTTCTTAAAGAAAACGGCTCGTCTTTTAATGCAATAATTGCCTTTTCTCGATTTTCCAAAAATGGTTTAACCCACTCGGAAACGCTACCATTAATGAATTTATGGTTCCAAGACAAACCCTAAATCATTATAAATAAAGGCTTACCTACCTCTAGGCTTTATTAAACATGACTCTAGAGTCTCACTTGAGAAATATTTTAAGAATGGAAAACGAAACAGTAGCCCCTGTTGATCCCGGCAGTCCACTCTTCTTATCCGGCGACGGCTTTGAACCGGCCGGCGTTCTCTTCCCTCACGCCGTCTTTCACTTTCCTCCGAAGGAGAAGAAAGAGGCCTGCGATTTTATTGACAAGGTAAATGTTAAAGTTTTTGATTTAAAACTTCTTGTTTCGTCTTATTCACTTATTTTTATGCTAGGTCGCCGACAAGCACCGTCGCTTGTGTGAAGAGAGGCAGCGGCTGGGACTCAAAAGGCAGACGCTCGAGGCTCGCATCGCTCGGGTGGAAAGGAAGATACGGGCTTTGGAGAGTGATCCCTTTCAATGGGAATGGCGGAACTTCGACTCCGTTGCTGAGATCCCGAAGATGCTTCGGATGTATCTCCGTGCTAGAGGAGTCCCGGGTCCCGTGAACGCCCCTGTCTTCGCCGTTCCATCCGACAGTGAAGAGGAAGAGGACTTGGAGGAGGAGGCCAGCGACTGCCGGAAACGCGTTCGGGATCGTTCCGAAGTGGATGCCAAAAACAAGGCGTCCACTTCGAGGACTAAACCGGCGATGAAGGAGCCTGTTCCTGAGCCTCTCCCATAAATGTTCTTCAATTTCTTCACTTCTTTTTTTT